AATGAAGGATGGAATTCCTATATATATATTCTTTTCTTTACTATATTTTTTTCTTTTTTCCTTCTATTCTTTATGACTTTCCTTTCCCCCCCCCCTTTGCACCTTTTACACTTTCCTTCTATTTTCTATCTTTCTTTTAGTGTGTATTAGTTTTTACTAGTGTAATTATATCCTTTAATAAAATTCCTTGAAAAAAAAATTGAATGATTCCCTTAGGTCTTCTATTTGTGTTCTGTAATGGGCTTCTCTGAGCTTGTACAGGGAAACTTCAGCTTGGTTTTAGCAAAATGCTATCCTGTAAAAGGCACTGCATGAACTGAAAGACAGAATCAGCCTCTTAATGTCAAAGTTGGTTGATAATTATTTATTTAATTATTTATAATGATTTATTTTATAATTATTTATGGTAGAGGACAGACTTACTGCTGCAAAGGACATTGCACTGTACTTTCCCATTTAGAGTAAGTCAGGGCTTGGGGAAAAAACAGGGAAACGACTTTGGAAGGAAAAAGAAAGTGGGCTAAGAGCCTGAAAGTGAAGCAGTCATGAAATGGTAGTCATGTGCTAATACTTTAGCATAACAAAAGCTAGCAGGGAAAGTGAAACAGCTTTTTAAAATGCAAAGTATACAAGTTAGTGACTCAATTCAAAATATCAAAAACTTTTTATGAGTGAAAGGAGAGTTAGCTATCTTAGAAGATCGGTCTCCATAATTACAGACACCTGCTGGGATTAAAATTGAACGAACATTGAACATTTTCCTTCTGAGAGAGTTTATAAGTGAATGATTTACAAACTTCTGGGAGCCAAGGGAGTTTTTTTCCCACAAGTTAAAATATCAGGCCACCCTGCCTAGTACATTCTCCTGCCTCTCTATGTGGAAGCAATGGGATCGTTCAATCACAGCCAAAAATGAGAATAAGTAAGCTGAAGGGCTGAGCTTTAGTGATGGCTGATGGCTTTGAAAGCCACCCAAGAGCAAGGATTCATGCAGAGATTCAGCAGCCAGCCATCCTATATGACTAGACATTTTGGCTGGGACTTTTATTATTCTGCAACTTTCACTCAGGATACCAACCTTTTCTCCCCACAACATATGTCAATTTCTAATGTATATTAAGATCTGGTTTTCAAACTTTTTTTTTTTTTTTGGATTTCTGTTCAGACTGATACAATGAGGTAGTAATGCTGGACAGCACTTCAGATTCAGAGGTTTAAAGGTGCTTTAGAACATGCAGGGCACCCATATAGCCCGCCTGCAACTCCTTAAAGCAGTCGTGTCTTTTCCCAGGTACACACAGGTGCCCTCCATACCTACACCACATCTGCAGCAAAAGACTTACCTGGTTTAAGGAGTTGCAAACAGCTGCTGCAGAGAGGCCCCTACACAACCTAAAACATCTTTTTACCTCTGAATCCGAAATACTGCATAGCCCTCTTACCTATTAATTCTGTTCTACCTGTTGAGTTATCATAGTCTGTATTTATGCTTAATAAACTGCCATACATTCTAGAGCATAGCTTGATATTAATGTGATTATTTCACAGTGTGTGACTCCTTTTTTTTTTTAAAGATGATGTACTGCTTACCATTGTATGGCTGTGTTCATATGGCACACTAAATTACAAACTTACCAACTAATCATAGCCTAGAATGTTGCATTCCAGCCAGTGTGGTTATACTATGGATTATTATGTCATATGAATCCCCAAAATTGGGTTAAGTCAATTATGTTTAAATTAACTATGGGTATGTGCTATAGGAACCATTCATAAGTGATAGCAATTGATTCAATTGTACTCAACTGTTAGGAGGATTATGAATATAACTAAATGTATTAAACACTTTTATCCCACACTTTCCCCAGTCAGCTTAACACAACAACTCAATGTATTTTGCTAGTCTTCAACCAATGTCTGTAGAGAGATTTGAACCTACCTCTGCTAGGACTCACATCCTACCACATATTCTATACCACTCTGTCATTGACTTGAATGAATTCTGGATTACCTTCTGAATTAGCCCCTTTGCTCAAAAGGAACTGCAACCAATCCAATAATTTCCTTAAATGTCATTTCTGTTTATTTATGTTAAGCTAGATGTCATTGTATATTACCAGGGTACCATATAAATGTTGATTTATATATACTTAATTAAAATTCAACAGGGATATATGCAACATTATAACAATAATTTGAAATGAATGGCTCTAATGCAGAGGAAAATGTGTAGAACTTATTTCTGCAATTCCATGATAGGAATGAGCAAGGTTTGACCCACAGTTATTGCTGAAATATGGGGAGATGCAGTCCAAGAACTTCTGGAAAATTACAGGCTGGCTGTCTCTGTGTACCACAAGGTAAGTAATTCCAAGGAAGGAAAATATGAAAATCTCATAGTCTCTTAGTTTGTATGACCATTAATATGTTTATAGCAACACAGGAACATAGGATCAGAAATAAAATGAACTAAAATCAAAGATGATATATAGATCTCTTAATATTTAGGCAAAAAGGTAAGATGGCATTTAGAATATGTATAAAGCACCCCACATTTTTATCTGTCCAAGTTATAATATATCCACATAAATTGCAATTTTTAAATAAAAGATCAAGTATCATCCATCATCTTAATCTGAAGTCACACTTCATTTGCAAAGCATTTAAATTTCATTCCTAGGACTACATAGATTTTATATCTAGGGTCAAGAACTTTTTCATCCATACACACTAGGTTGAATTGTACTTAGTTCACACTGAAATCAATGTGAAAAGTTACAAAATGGGAACTTACTCTCATGAACAAAGCTAGCCAGAACTTTGAAGATACCAGCTAAAGTTTATCTCTGTTGCATTCTTGGAATGATTCTCCAACCCATCTTCATTCCATGCAAGTATCAGTGTACGCAACGTAGGAAACAGAATGTTTGTTTGCTGGACTTCTATGCTCCTCCATTTGAAACCAACTCTGAGTGGCTTCCATATCCTATTGATGTAAGTCAGTTTTAAAGCTACAGTTTCTAAAACACAAATAATACAATCCAAAACAGAAGAAAACAGAACACTGGGGATAAATAGATCTCTATATTCGTTACACTTTAGATTATAAGAGAGGGAACTCACAACATTCTGTCTCCCAAGGCCTGTTGAAAAAGCCAGGTTTTGATGGCCTTTCTGAAACCTAGCAGGGCATGGGTTGAGATTTGGATCTCAGGAGGAATGCTATTCCAAAGAAAGGGGACAATAATTGAAAAGGCACACCTCCACGGCCCCTGAAAATGGCAGCCATTAAATGAGGGGACCTAAAGTAAGATCTTCTACAAGATCTTATCGATGGATGGATTGGGAGAAGGCAATCCTGAAGATATTTAGGTCCTCTATCTGGGGAAATTATCCTTATTGCAAACCAACCCTCTCACTGAATGAACACTTTGCAAGTGAATAGTTGGCTGTTAAGCAGCAGAATCATCAGCTCATGCCAGATGCACCTTAAAAACCACATGTTGTCCAATGGATAATGTTCAGCTCAGAAATCTAGTTTTTTTTAAAAACATTGAGACCCAGCAATCTCGGTGTCAACATGTAATATGTTTGGGTGAGCAGTGAGGGCCCAGAGAGCAGTGTAGTATAGCTGTTGCTGGCCCCGGCACTACAAAATGAAAAATAAAGGCTGGGTCCTGTCCTGACCTGACAAGTATAAGGCTCAGCTATTGCAACATCACTTCCTTTCCCAAAATGCATTTGGGTCCTTTCCCCAACACACAAGTCCTTGAAGTGCTAGCAGATTCATACAAGGAGTGGGAGAATATGTCTCTACCCAGTACCAGGCTGAGCTTTGGAAAAAGTGGGGGAGAAGGGAAAGTGGGTGTGTCCCTGTTGCCCACCATCCAATAAGCCTTCTTTAAAGCTGAATTAAGTGCTGGGTCCAACTGCCTGGCTCCCTGCCCACTCCCTTCTCTGGTCCTCTATAGAGATTTCCTGAGCATTCCTATTGGATTACAAGGAATGCTGGACAAAGGCAGGGTCCAGAGGTATTTGGGACAGGAGAAAGTAGCTGCTAGCTGGTTGGTATCAGGGAGGGATCCAACCCCTCAGCCTTTAAGAGCTTGCAGGAGATTCAGGGCCTGATGATATGTCACGATGTTAACCTGACATGATGTCAGTGGGTGGCTGGCCTTAGGTGCAACCTTTCATTCCCTTTTGCTGTTATTTCAGCTTTTTTAAAAAGGGTGACAATGATCAGTCTTAAAGGAAAGAGGTAAAGAAAGGAATAAGGTATAAAATGTAATATTCTTTAGAAACAGAAAGACAGAGATTATTTATAGAAGTGGCAGCTAAAGGCCAGATTGGCCCAGCAGATGAAGCGTCAACCATGAACCTATTTTCCACCTGTGGTCACTTTTACACTTTCAAGAATCCCTGTATTTAAAGTGGAATTTACAAAATATCCAGAATATAATCAACCTCTACCAAGGCTATAAGGTATTTGTATATTACAGTCAATGCAGAAAATAAATTATCATTATTAACAAGTTGTTCTATGGGTATAATAGGTCACTCTTCTCCAATGTGAAAGCCTGTGGTTGTATTGGGACTACACCTCCCAGAATCCTGAGATATCATGGCCCCCAGGACAGTACCCAGAATTCTTAGCCATCATGGACATCCCAACATATCTGAAGGATAGTAGGTTTGGAAAAGCCCACACAAACCTCAGAAAGTATATTTACTGGCCTTGATGCATACAATTCACTGATAGTTTACAACATACTACATCACTTGCCTAATGAGTACTTTTAACATGCTTTAGTGAGGAATTTTGCAACAAACATTACATACATTCATTTCTACTGGAAACACATGTAGTTTTTTGCAGAGGTTGGGATCTCAGCTGGACTGTAAATGGAAATCAAGCTAACAATAGAAAAGATGTATTATTACACGTAGACGTTTCCGCTTCAGATATGAAGCTGCAACAACTGTTTATACAGGACACTCACCTCGAAATACATTAGGGAAGGCATCAGTAGAAGGTGACATTCCTGAGGACTTTCTCAAATGATTCAAAGGCACTCTTTCCCCTTGGATACCATCTCTGGTCTGCCCGTACTCCAAAAAATCTGCAGAGCCTGACTTTTGCGCTATTTCACTGGGTTCATCTGAAATCTCATGAGTCCAGTCTGCGGATCGGCTAAATGCCCCTGCCAAACTAGCAGATCTCTGTTTCTTGGTTGGTGCCTTCTCTTTCAGTCGAGAGGGCTCCCGTCTCCTTTTAAAGAGGGGGCTCTGTGAAGGGGAAAGGCAAGGCGAATGATTTGGAGAACTCAGCTGCCTAGTGGTGGTTTTGATGTAGCATGGGTTGATGAAAGGGTAAGGTTTAAAACATTTGGAAGTGTGCACTGGGCTGCTGGAGACATCCTCTGAGGAACAAGTCCCATTTTTCATTTCCACCGAAAAGCCCTCCTCCGCTGCTTCTTTGCTAGTTGACAAACTCCATTTCCTGTCTGTGGCCACGGCAACCCGATCCCTGCCTCCATCTGCTGGATCAGCCTCTCTTTCGGCACCTGTACATTCAACAGCAATTACTTCAGTCTCAGACTCACCAGCTGGGGGTGGGAAATTAAAGACTGAACTGCCCAGAAGAGTCCCGTTTTCTTCAGCTGCAGCAATGGGAGTAGAGAAGTCTCCTTCTTCACCAGCAGGTTGCTCCTCTTCTGTTGGCAGTTGCTCAGGTTCTTCCTGCATCTCAGACACACTGCTGCAGGAATGCCCCATGCCATTTGCCCCTTCTTGCACTTCAGTCTGACAGCTTGGGACATATTCTGTGATTTCTGATTTAGCAGAGACTGGCTGCTCGGTATCCGGGCTACTGTCTTTGTCACTGCTGCGTGAAAGAAACCTTTCAAAATCTAATGGGGTTGCTTGAGAATTAGCCATGTGTAGGTCCATTGTTTTGGTGCCCTGCTGCTCAGTTCCAACGTTAATTGTCCCCTGCTGCTGCTGCTGCTGCTGCTGCAGTCTAATTGCCTGCTGAATATCAGAAAGCAAATCCTCTTGTTCGGTGGCTGAATGGAAACTGTATATATCCGTATCCGAGCCAGAGCTGGTTCTTTGTCCATCTTGCGGCTCGACAGCTGCAGGGCGAGTTTCATTTGTATTTTCAAAATGCTCTGCATCGGTATCCGAGAGACCCCCTTCATCTGCAGAAATGCTTATATCGGGAGTTTTGGTGAGAATCGAGTGAGCACTGTCCAGCTCTCCTGTTTGCCCGGCCTGGCTTTCTAAAACATCCTCTCTCGAGCTGCTGGTTCCATCTTTAGACTTGGAGAGGTTTTTCCTGATGCGCAGATTGGAAAAGACAGATGCCCTGGCTTCAGACTTGCCCTTCTTTTTCGTCGATTCGCTCCCTTTCCCGTGCCGGCCCAGGCTCTTCTTGCTCCCCCCTCCTTTCTTTGTGCCCTCGGCATCCCTGGGCCCAGAAGCATCCTCGCCACCTTCGTGCACATCACCTGCGTTCCTCTTCAGCTTCCCATCCTGGTTTCCCATGGTGTTCAGCGGTTGGGCACTGTTAGGAATCAAGCCATGCTGCTTGGCTTCACTCACCTGGGCAGGCAAGCAGGCCCTCTCAAGTAATCCAGGGTTGTTTTCGAGCGGCGGTGATGCAAGGGGAGCAAAGGCTTGCTCTGAGTCTCTCCCGGCTGCTCGAGCTGCTTTTTTGCATAATGTGCTGCCAGCATAAGGCTCCTCTGAGACATGCTCAGTAGAGCACTGAGAGACGCCGACAGCTCCTTCCAATGGCAGTTCCTGGTATCGTTGCCTTTTCAGCCCACCTCGGCTCCCCTCCTGGCTCTTGTGGCTAGAGGGGAAGAATAGTGCCTTGACAACAGGAACTTTTTTCTCCAGTGCCTCAATCCCCTGCATTGTCAGCTTGTAGGAGGTCACTTTGTCACAGAGTGGCTTAGGGGTCAGGACTTCAAAAGTTTCCATTCCTGGAATTGGGTGTTGTGGAGAGGAGGAGGAGGAGGAAGAAAAAGAACAAAAAAGAAAAAATTAAACCTCATGCTCCAAAACAACTTTCTGGCTATTCAACAGTAAATCTGGGAAATTATGTTGCTTTCTGTAGTAGTGAAAATTAATTAATTCAGTCAAGCTTTTTTGGTAAACAATATTAATTTGCTCTTGCTTTTATGAGAATCGGCGCTCCATTTTTTCTACTTGAGAAAAGACAAGCACACCATTCTAACACACACGCAGCCACACTGGGCTATGCTTTAAATAGATAAACAGCAATATATAAATAAGCAATAGTGTTTTGCAAGAAGTGCTATAGGTTAATTATATTATAGATTACTGAGATTATTGGTCTAACTGACCATTCAGAAATACATTTGTATTCCAAGGGGGTATGAATAGTGATAATCCTCCAAGGGATGAGCCTCATCAATATTCAGCACATACTCATTGTTCCTTAAAATTAAAAGAGAGAGAGAGAGAGAACAAGCACATTTGGTACCAAAAATAATTTGGAAAGATACAAATCTAATATAAGGTGCATCTCAAGGATTTCCACACTGGCAATATTGTGTTGCTTCTACAAGCTTTATAAAAATTACTTTTATGATTCAATATGGCCTGTTAAATATAATTGTGCATACTCTTTTGTGCATATTAATCCTTCCTGTAAAAATACCACATAGTCTCACACAGATTATCATCATGAGATTACATTATTTTAAATTAATTTATCTGAAAAGAAAAAGTGAGACCTGCCCTTGTAAATCAAACTAAGTTTCATCTGTTTCATCATCTGACAGCAGCCTTCCTGACATTTGTGATTATTAGAAGGCCCAGATTTCGGAAAGAGGATTTTTAAATATTTAGTACCAGACTTGTAAAATATATCCATGGCTCACTTTCAGCATTTTAGAGTAATTCTCACTGAATTCAACAGGGACCCTGCTAAAAAAATATACATAAACAAATAAACAAACTGTAATAAAGTTTATACAGAGCCCCCATAATCAATATACATAAACATCCTGCAGATTAATATTATCCTTTAAGTATTTGCATATTTATAAGTTTCACTGCTTACGAATCATAATGCGCACTGATTTCTAAAATCTGATTAAAATCAGTTTAATTAAAAAATTAAAAGCGTTGCAACATTAAGCTGAAATTTATGCTAGCATCATAGCCTAAAGAAATTTTACTAGAGTAAATCTACACACAGTAGGGCAGTGTTGTCCAAACTTGGCCACTTTAAGATGAGTGGACTTCCACT